GGGTCATTTTCGACCTGGAGGGATGTGGGCAGTGGCGTCCCCCAGGACTCGGTCCTCGGGCCCGCACTGTTCAACATCTTCATCAGTGACTTGGACAAGGGGGTAAAAAGCACCCTGTTCAAATTCACTGATGACACTAAGATGTGGGGAGAAGTGGGCAGGCTTTAAAAGTCACTCCAGGAGGGTGGGTTTTGAGTTCCAGCTTTTACAAGAGTGTGGAGACAGAGGCTAGACTGAGAAGGGAGCAAGATGGACCTTTGAGAATAAAGATCCTCATATGGTAAGAACTTAGGTATAGTCTGCTACCCCCCTCAAGAGAAATGTTTCTCATCTGCTCTTTGCTCCGTGGAAAGATTCACGTTCTTAGATGCTGTGCAGAACAGACAAGATTTGAGCACAAAATGACGCTACAGATGCACCCTTACCCTAAAAATTGCTATGTCTGCACCCCCACCCCATCTCTCTGGGGCAGTTAAGGAGCTGCCCATCAAGCCAAACTAATGACATGGTAAACCAATGCAGTCACCTAAATTCAACACTCTCCTTAAGTGACCCCCATTTCTAAGTCCCATTTAAGTGACTGGATTTTACCCGTCATTAGCCGTTAGGAAACTCCTTAGGCGTGACTTTTTGCCACTTTGGTGCCTAAAGAAATCTTTCCTGCTCCCTGCCCCAGGTGGATCTTGCTTTCTTGCGCAGGCATCTTTGCCACCTTTCTCAGAAATGAAATCTGTTCTCTTTTAAGTTTCTATTGCAAAAAGAATAAACTGCTCTTATCCTTGTTATTTTAAGAAGGCTCAGGGCTCTACTCTTATTCCTTCTAGCGTACGATATGAAAGTTTCTCTTGTGGGTTTAGCAGAGAGGACAGTGGCCAACCAAAGCCAGCTTTCCACTGTCGTCTGCAGATGAGCCAGATGCATGCCGCAGTTAGTTGCTCTATAACCATTTATTGTTGCCCGCTTAGTAGAGGCACTGCGGCTTCCCCATGGTGCCCTTGGTATATAACACACGCACGTTCTGCCAGTTCTTCAGCAAGGACACCAGGAAGTTGATGGCCAGGTGAATGTTATAGATCAGCTCATCCTCGGTCATCTTCACATGCCGACTGCCGCTGCCAGACAGAGCACCTGGGCACAGGGACAGCGAGGTCACTCATTCAATATTAGCAGTAGGTTTTGCAAGGGATGCTGGATTAGGCACATGAAAAAATTATGGCACCTCAGGGCACAAGCAGCTATTAGCAAAACCCCCAGGGTGATGCAGCTTTGCCAGATGTCAGGGGAGAACTTACCAGTGGGTTTAAAATGTCCCCAGTTCTTTAACCTGCAAACAGTACTGTAGCAATTCTGAACTGTTGAAGCTTTACAGGGAATGGATCCAGTAATGCAAGATGTATTCAGTGAGGCATTTTAAAAACCTCCATCCCTTGCTTTATCAGACCTTTCAGTTCACATCACTGTGTAGCTCATGCCAACTGGCTTCAACACATTCACCAGCTGGCTTGCAGTTGACCAGTGCAGGCTGATCAGCTATAGTGCTCTTTAGGCAGACTCGCTCTGAATCAAGCCTGACTTAGCAAAGCCCCCAAACATATCCCTAATGCCTTGGAGAATGACTGACAACAGTAAAGCTTAGATGAGTGGGGCACCAGACTGATCAAGAACAAATATCTGAATCAGGGTTGCTTTGACCTAATAAGTAATCCAATACCTCTTTCATCATGTCTGAAACCACAAGTGCATTATTGCATTCATCTGTGTGGCACAAACCTCTTCTAATGTCTCACTGAAAGCTCGCCATATCCCTGCGAGATCAGTACCTTTACTATGCAAGATGCCCTCGGCTCCCACTGACATCAATAAGCCTCGATGGCACCCAGCCTGTTGCAATACCAGGTCACTTCTCCAAATCGCGTGTTTGAAGTTTTTCAAAAAACTTTAATTCTCCCTTTGGGGTAACAGATGAATGCCCTGGACTATTCCTTCAATACACAGCAAGTGATTCATTAGATGAGTATTACTGGCAGTCCTCGGAGGAAGAAGCTGGACACCTGCAGTACAGCCCTGATGTACATATCCAAGTGACTGGCACACTGCCACCAGGCCACTGGCTGCTGGGTTTCAGGTTCCTGCATTTACCTTCTTCACGGGAAATTTGATAGTAGATCTCACTTTGGCCACTGAGTTCTTCTTGTGCATGAGGAGAAAGGGAAACTGGCCCACTTTGTTTAGACCCGGACCCAGGATATGAAGAATCTGCTTGATGAGGGA